CTATTTGATACTTTTTGCAGACGATACTGTCTTATTTGCCAAATCTGCCGAACTTCTTCAACAGTTACTTGACAAATTATCCAAATATTGTAGAAAATGGAACATAGAAGTTAACACTGATAAAACTAAAGTAGTTGTGTTCAGAAATGGATGGCAACCTGTAAATAATCGTTTCATATATAATAACCAAGAACTTCAAATCGTAAATTCCTACGTTTACCTTGGAATGTTGCTTCACTTTAACGGGAAATTCTTACACACACAAAAACGACTGTCCCAACAAGGATCAAGAGCTCTCTCGTCACTCTTAAATTGTTTGAATAACATCTACATTTCTACATATCAACAATGTCTTCTTTACGACAGTATGGTTGGATCAGTACTGAACTATTCTTCCGAAATATGGGGTTTTCACCGCGCCAACGACATAGAGATTATTCATAATCGTTTTTGTAGGTTTGTTTTAAAATTAGGTAAACGTGCTCCTATTAGTTTTCTGTGTGGCGAGCTTGGTCATCTACCTATGTATGTTTTAAGAAAACAATTAATCTTAAAGTATTGGTTACGTATTGTTATATATAAACCAGCTTTTGTATATGATGTATATAAAATTTTATATGACGATGCAAATCAAGGTAAAATTAATTGGGCGTCTAATGTGCGTGAATTTTTATTTAGTCTTGGAATGAATCATATTTGGATTGACCAAAATAATATTAATATATCGTTTGATGTTATAAAGACACGCATTAAAGACCAATATCTACAAAAATGGTCAGCAGATATATGTGATTGTGAAAATTTAGTGTATATAGAAGTATAAAGTTTGATTTTTGTCTTGAGACTTATGTAAGCTACATTAATAATGTTCACATTCTTACGAAACTACGAAGTGGTACTTTGAAACTAAATGTTGAAGTTGGTCGCTTCTCTGATATACCAAGAGAAATGCGTTTATGTGTATGTTGTAAAATGCAATGTGTTGAGAATGAATTCCATTTTGTATTGGTATGTCCAGCATATAGGGCAATTAGAATTTTTTTTCTGCCTCGCTATTATTGTTCATGGCCTAATATTTTTAAACTATCTTGTTTGTTGAAAGCTAATTCTAGATCGCTTACAATTAAGCTCTGTAACTATTTAAAGAATGCATGGAAAGCTAGATCGGATATTATTGGTTAGTTATGTTATTATTGTATTGTTCTCTGTTATCAGTCTTTTGTCACATTGTGTATATATTATGTATTGCCATAGCATGTTCTGTATGCTTTTGCAAGTAAATATTCATTCAAATCCTTTCAATCTCAAAATGTGCTTCAGGGCAGTAGTAACTCATTTATAGAAACTCTTTGTTTTGAACTGTAAATAGACCTAAATAATAGGATAATCCCTTACTAAGAACATGATTTACATTCATTCTTCACAATTAAGAGACATCAAGTCCTACCATTTCATTGGTCGAGAGCACTTTGCTATATTCTAACCTTGTTTGTAGTCTGCTCGACTGTCTTCTCCACTACTTGATTGTCTATTATTGTCCTTTGTATCCAAATGATTTCTTTAGAAAAGTATTTAGTAACGCTTCGAATACCGGGAAATTAGTTGGCTTGGCCGTATAAACTCGTCAATGAGTTGATAAGTCATTGTTATATTATAAATAGCCTCTGACTAAATTTTATTTTCTCTAACTGGTTGGGGCATAGTAGTATTCACCTTATGTCAGATTTATAAATAAGCAATCATATGAAGTTCCTTTTCCCTATTATACTTTCAATTGATCTCGGTACCATCGCCCTCCCCCTAAAAAAATTTACATTTTTTTTATATCTTTTTTCTCAATAATGAATAATTTCACAAAAGAATCACATGTACAAATTTAATTGAATTAATTATAAGGATATGTATAATATACTAAGTACAGCAAGTCTTTTTACAAATAACCACATCCACGAACTATAGAAATAGACTTGGACGCTGTAACGTGTTCTAGACCGTCACATACTAGTATAGCCATCTCAGTCAATTGACGTGCATAATTCACATGACTATGCAAATAGTCTCATTACTTTAAAAACATACTTCACATGTATTCAAGTCTGTGTGATATAGAGGTTGATATGATAAATCTTTATGACGGTGTCCCAAAATAAATATAAGGGTATTTTCGGCGAATCTACTGTGGTGAAAGCCAAAATTGTTCATGACAACAGTGTCCCCGGGACGTAAGCAATATTTTCCAAATCAATTTAATTCATATTAAGCATTAGAAAAAAGGTCAACAAGATGAAATCCATTTGAAGATCCACCTAAAATATTGAAATATTCTATCCCAAATGGCACATGAAGGAGGTGTTCCGTGTGGGCGGCATTGGAAGCATATTTGTGTACCTCTATAGCATTTTCCCCTACTGTTGAATTTCCGTAAAGTCTATTTCTAGATGAAAACTCCATATCGATGAAAAGAATATGTTAGTCCATTAATATGAACGTCTGTATACTAGTATCTTTATGCCAAGGTCATATATAAAATAACGTGAAATTATCATATATAGTTTATTATCTATCCGTACACGTCCGTCATTCGTCATTGTCGTCTTTTTTTACATAGTGCTCTTAATGTAGTATCTTTCATGGATCAAAATAACCTTTGTCCTTTCGATTATGGTATACTAATATATTTTCATTTGTGGCATTGTTTCTTTGAAAGACATATATGTAGGACTCGGAGGTGCGACGGGGACCCTGAAGTGCGTTGGTCACGCTTAAGTGCTATGGTCTACGCAGAAATGCGATGGTCCGTACGCTGATGTGCGATGGTCTATTTGACGCATGATTGCTAGTTTAAAATCTACAGACGTGCAATTATCATGAGAAGTAGACTTTTTAACATAATATATAAATTTACATTCATTATTGTCTATGGCTGCCCTTAATTACAGTTGCATACTAAATGCGAGATCATCATCTTTGATTTTCTACATGTGGACATAATTCTGCATTAGCATTTTATCTATATATTGTTTCTCTTATTGTTTTACCGTAATATTGTAATGAAAAGAGTCTGTCTGCGGATCCGTATGTACTAAGAGAATGGCACGCTCCATCGTACGTAAAATAGAACCTTTTGTAGATATCGAAAACAAAAATCACTGCAGAAGGTTAACTTTCCACTATCTACCAATCCTCCCCGTTTCCCGTAGTATTAAAAGTTTATAAGCTCCTTATCAACTTAAAAACCTTAAAAACTGCTTTAAGATACACATTTCCTTCTACATCGACATGAAAAGCATTGCAAATGTAGTTTGTGTAGACAATCGCACTACAGCGTGACCACGATCGCACTCCGGTGTAGCTATCAACAAGATAGCGTAACAATGCCACCATCGCACTTCAGCGTGATCAAAAACGCACTTCAGCGTCAAACCATCGCACCTCAGCATGACTATCGCGGTTCGGAGTACCATCGCGGTTCAGAGTCCTACATATATAAAATAAGGAGAAGTGTTATGATTGCCAATGAGAAAACTGAGGGGACAACCAGTTGCTATTTTTAGGGGAAGGCGGATTTTTTTCTGAGGGAAATTAATTTTCAACTTTGTACGTATACGGTTTAGACGTGCAAACATTACTTTTTACTTTTGTACACCTTTATATTTAATGCATTGTGTTCGGTAAAATGTGCATTTTCATTCTGTTTGGGCGAGGTTATCTGTTTTTAAGTCCTAACCAGGCCAGACTATTAATTTTCACAATTCTGCACCCCTCCTCAGAATATCAAGTGGTCGTCCCCTTACATACAGAGTCGAAATAAAGGTGATTACAGCAATTATAGGTAACCATACGGCTACAAAATTATTAGCAAACCCGATAGCCTGTAGCTTGTAGTCAGTTATTAAAGGCCCCGACATGACAAAATGTGAAACAATTCAAACGAAAAAATCAACGCGAAACAAACATGCCTTCAGAGTTACATGTGATCCATTAGCAAACAAGATTTGGCAACAAAGAGTAATCAAGTAATTGATGAGCTTTATACACCAAACAAACTAATTTCCCGGTATTCGAAGCGTTACTAAATAGTTTTCTGAAGAATTCATTGGGATACAAAGGACAATAATAGATAATCAAGTAGTAGAGAAGACAGTCGAGCAGACTACAAACAAGGCTAGTCGTGAGATTTGTCAAGGTTATTGTAAATTGGGTGTAAATTATTGTATAATCTCGTAACGTTGAAATACAATATACCCATCGGCCCAGTATTAACGATATTAAGATCAGATGCGGACCGGTCGCTGAACTTCACTTTTCGAGGTCTCGCACAAAGGTCTGTTGACAGTTTAGGGCGTCTAATTTTTTCTACACTATTATTTTTGGATAAATGACCCGATAAAACAGTTATTTCGTAGTGCATTTCGTTAAGACAATAAATGAAAATTTAAAAAATCGCACCTGCGCTTTCTCAATGATATCTTTACAGAGTGGTGTTCTACTTTTGAGACAAATCATATCAAAATTATAGAAAATTTCATCAGCTCTAACTCAAGATATATACAATTTATGCTAATGGGGTCTTGAATTCTCAGGTTTGACATCTTCAGACATACTAATTTATAACCTTTTTCAGCTTGACCAAATCACTTCTTTACTTTAAAATGCATGACCCATATTTATTTACAGTGCAATTTCATCCCCCATCTTGCTATTTGAGGCATAAACCATAAAAAAAATTGGAAGGGTTATGAAAAAATAAATGCAAGTAACACATTTTCCACACTAGGGACTAAAAATCAAATGACAATAACTATGCTCCCGGACCAAATGTCCTCATTCCGATCATATAAAACACTCGTCTCAAACTGTATTGATAGACTTCCTAGAGATTTTTCTTCCATTTAATATATTATGTTGACTAATTGCATACACTTTGAACCAACTATTAAATGACTATTTGTTAATTTTGGTTTCAGTCACTAATCATAAGTTTGTTTTTCTATTAATAGTTGTGGTTGTTTTTGCGGTGTTGGTATGTGGCCTTTTCTTCGTAGGTGCTTTGCGACAACACAAGCACCGTAACAGAAAAACAACCGATCTAATCGTTGGACTATCTCCCTTGCTTGCCGATGACAAAGAAGGTGAAGAGAGTAACGAAGAGCTTTTATAGAAACTACGGACAACTGTAACGGAATTATTAATCATGACGTTCAGACGAATAATATGGTGAATTCTGAAGCTGTACAATAAAATAATACTTTTACTTATTACTTTTTTGTTTTACAAAATCAGGATATAAAATAATATAATGACGCGCGGGCTTCATACAAGTTTTCTTCTTTGTTTAAAGTTTTGTTATTTTATGCAGCAGAACGTGTAGAAAATTTGTAGAATTTTATTCAGGAGTTGAAAATATTGTTCCAACTTTTAATTGGAAGAAACTGTTTGAACAAAACCTCAAACTCTACCGATATGTCGATCTTACAAGAGAAAAATCCTCAAACTTTACCGATACGTCGATCTCACAAGAAAAAAAAACTTAAACTCTACCGATATGTCGATCTTACAAGAGAAAAAACTTCAAACTCTACCGATATGTCGATCTTACAAGAGAAAAACCTCAAACTCTACCGATATGTCGATCTGGTCCGAGTACACAGTTATTTCGTAGTGCATTTCTTTTAGACAATAAATGAAAATTAAAAAAATCCCACCTGCGCTTTCTCAATAATATTTTTACAGCGTGTTGTACTACTTTTGGGACAAATTATATCAAAATTATAGAAAACTTCATCGGCTCTAACTCAAAATATGGAAAATTTTATGTTAAGGGGGTCTTCAAATCTTTTGACAGCTTCCGAAGTGCTAATTTTTAACATTTTTCAGCTGGACCAAATCACTCCTTTACTTTAAAATTCATGACCCAAATTTTTTTACAGTGTCATTATACCCCCCTACTTGCTATTTGAGTCATAAAACATGGAGAAATAAATTTGGAAGGGGTATAAAAAAAAATAGCAAGTAACACACTGTCCACACTAGGGACTACATTTGTGGACAACGAAAATCAAAGGACGATAACTGTGTACTCGGACCTAATAGGGTAGAAAAAGTTGACCAATCTTAATGAAACTTGGTATGACCAAAGCTTAATAAATTATAAGACTGCCTACAAAGTTTCATGGCAATAGGATATATATTATAGACAATATGACTAATTCTATATTCAACTTTGCGTGTTAAATGTAGACGTTAAAATTGAAAAATTTCAACTATCAACATTTGGGGCTTAAAAAATTTAAATATTGCAAAAAAATACTTTTGAAATGCCTTAATATATAAAATATTATGTATTAAAAGCAATTGAGTACTCATTTTATTTATCAGACTTATCATAATTATTAAAAAGTCAAATTTATATGAGCCTGTGCCTAAAAATGGAGGTTTTCCAATGAAGGGAGGCCTTACATGAAGATGTAATATTTTCCAGCAATTTTAAATTTGTAAAGCTTTTTGGTTATAAATAATCCTTACATATATATTTAATGTACTTTAAATGGAAAGAAAACTCACAAATAACATATCATATTAGTTTAAAAGGGTCTTAGGCCAAGTAAGACTGAAAATAATTTAGGGTCAATTTAGGCCGTAGCACATATTTACATTTAAAAATGCATATTGAAGCTATAGGAAATAAAAATTTGTGTCTTTTCTATCATTTCTATACTCAGGTGACATGATACAATAAATCTGAGCACAAAAAGACTCTTGCATTCAACTTTTTTTGCTGACAGTATGGTCTGATACAAAGATTTTTCACTTTTTAGTGAAAAACATGCATGCAATTTTAGTCGCAACAAGCTTATATTTGAACCACTTGCTATCCTACAGAAGAAAAGAAAGATATTATGTGACATGAAACAGGTACAAAAGACATTGTTAAGTGCTTTTTATACAAATTTAGTGAGGTCTTTATTATGGACTTCAACTTTTATGTTCCAAGCTCCTCACATTTAACTTGATCCAAACAGGGCGTTAGACGAGGGTCATATATACAACACATTTTGTACATATTGTCTGAGATAATCTTCTTTTCTGTAGATTCAGAGTTCACAAATGAGTAATACAACTGGATTGAAGCATAGAAACACAAATATTGACACATAAAAACCTGTCAGATAGAAAGTCAGAATGCCACTTATGCATCAAAATTGAAAAAGCTATGAAATGGTTATTTTGACCATAATATGCCCAAATTGGTCATTTTTGCAGAAATTCTATCAAATAAAAGTTTAAATCCTTTAGTTTTATGCTATTTGACAAATTGACACCATCAAATCATTCAGGGAAGTTGCCAAAGTACGGATTCTATATTTCCTGATTTCACCTCTTAGGTCCGAGTACACAGTTATTTCGTAGTGCATTTCTTTTAGACAATAAATGAAAATTAAAAAAATCCCACCTGCGCTTTCTCAATAATATTTTTACAGTGTGTTGTACTACTTTTGGGACAAATTATATCAAAATTATAGAAAACTTCATCGGCTCTAACTCAAAATATGGAAAATTTTATGTTAAGGGGGTCTTCAAATCTTTTGACAGCTTCCGAAGTGCTAATTTTTAACATTTTTCAGCTGGACCAAATCACTACTTTACTTTAAAATTCATGACCCAAATTTTTTTACAGTGTCATTATACCCCCCTACTTGCTATTTGAGTCATAAAACATGGAGAAATAAATTTGGAAGGGGTATAAAAAAAAATAGCAAGTAACACACTGTCCACACTAGGGACTACATTTGTGGACAGCGAAAATCAAAGGACGATAACTGTGTACTCGGACCTAATAGGGTAGAAAAAGTTGACCAATCTTAATGAAACTTGGTATGACCAAAGCATAATAAATTATAACACTGCCTACAAAGTTTCATGGCAATAGGATATATATTATAGACAATATGACTAATTCTATATTCAACTTTGCGTGTTAAATGTAGACGTTAAAATTGAAAAATTTCAACTATCAACATTTGGGGCTTAAAAAATTTAAATATTGCAAAAAAATACTTTTGAAATGCCTTAATATATAAAATATTATGTATTAAAAGCAATTGAGTACTCATTTTATTTATCAGACTTATCATAATTATTAAAAAGTCAAATTTATATGAGCCTGTGCCTAAAAATGGAGGTTTTCCAATGAAGGGAGGCCTTACATGAAGATGTAATATTTTCCAGCAATTTTAAATTTGTAAAGCTTTTTGGTTATAAATAATCCTTACATATATATTTAATGTACTTTAAATGGAAAGAAAACTCACAAATAACATATCATATTAGTTTAAAAGGGTCTTAGGCCAAGTAAGACTGAAAATAATTTAGGGTCAATTTAGGCCGTAGCACATATTTACATTTAAAAATGCATATTGAAGCTATAGGAAATAAAAATTTGTGTCTTTTCTATCATTTCTATACTCAGGTGACATGATACAATAAATCTGAGCACAAAAAGACTCTTGCATTCAACTTTTTTTGCTGACAGTATGGTCTGATACAAAGATTTTTCACTTTTTAGTGAAAAACATGCATGCAATTTTAGTCGCAACAAGCTTATATTTGAACCACTTGCTATCCTACAGAAGAAAAGAAAGATATTATGTGACATGAAACAGGTACAAAAGACATTGTTAAGTGCTTTTTATACAAATTTAGTGAGGTCTTTATTATGGACTTCAACTTTTATGTTCCAAGCTCCTCACATTTAACTTGATCCAAACAGGGCGTTAGACGAGGGTCATATATACAACACATTTTGTACATATTGTCTGAGATAATCTTCTTTTCTGTAGATTCAGAGTTCACAAATGAGTAATACAACTGGATTGAAGCATAGAAACACAAATATTGACACATAAAAACCTGTCAGATAGAAAGTCAGAATGCCACTTATGCATCAAAATTGAAAAAGCTATGAAATGGTTATTTTGACCATAATATGCCCAAATTGGTCATTTTTGCAGAAATTCTATCAAATAAAAGTTTAAATCCTTTAGTTTTATGCTATTTGACAAATTGACACCATCAAATCATTCAGGGAAGTTGCCAAAGTACGGATTCTATATTTCCTGATTTCACCTCTTAGGTCCGAGTACACAGTTATTTCGTAGTGCATTTCTTTTAGACAATAAATGAAAATTAAAAAAATCCCACCTGCGCTTTCTCAATAATATTTTTACAGTGTGTTGTACTACTTTTGGGACAAATTATATCAAAATTATAGAAAACTTCATCGGCTCTAACTCAAAATATGGAAAATTTTATGTTAAGGGGGTCTTCAAATCTTTTGACAGCTTCCGAAGTGCTAATTTTTAACATTTTTCAGCTGGACCAAATCACTACTTTACTTTAAAATTCATGACCCAAATTTTTTTACAGTGTCATTATACCCCCCTACTTGCTATTTGAGTCATAAAACATGGAGAAATAAATTTGGAAGGGGTATAAAAAAAAATAGCAAGTAACACACTGTCCACACTAGGGACTACATTTGTGGACAGCGAAAATCAAAGGACGATAACTGTGTACTCGGACCTAATAGGGTAGAAAAAGTTGACCAATCTTAATGAAACTTGGTATGACCAAAGCATAATAAATTATAACACTGCCTACAAAGTTTCATGGCAATAGGATATATATTATAGACAATATGACTAATTCTATATTCAACTTTGCGTGTTAAATGTAGACGTTAAAATTGAAAAATTTCAACTATCAACATTTGGGGCTTAAAAAATTTAAATATTGCAAAAAAATACTTTTGAAATGCCTTAATATATAAAATATTATGTATTAAAAGCAATTGAGTACTCATTTTATTTATCAGACTTATCATAATTATTAAAAAGTCAAATTTATATGAGCCTGTGCCTAAAAATGGAGGTTTTCCAATGAAGGGAGGCCTTACATGAAGATGTAATATTTTCCAGCAATTTTAAATTTGTAAAGCTTTTTGGTTATAAATAATCCTTACATATATATTTAATGTACTTTAAATGGAAAGAAAACTCACAAATAACATATCATATTAGTTTAAAAGGGTCTTAGGCCAAGTAAGACTGAAAATAATTTAGGGTCAATTTAGGCCGTAGCACATATTTACATTTAAAAATGCATATTGAAGCTATAGGAAATAAAAATTTGTGTCTTTTCTATCATTTCTATACTCAGGTGACATGATACAATAAATCTGAGCACAAAAAGACTCTTG